ATATATATATATATATAGACAGGGTTTTCCTCCTGGCGGCTGATGAGGAGCTGCCGGAAGCTGCCGAAGAAGCTCCAGAGGTTGAGGAGCAAAGCGCAGAGGCTGAGGGGCTTTAGGTTAGGGCAGACGGACCTGCAACAGACCAGACCAGATTTTTTCAGGATCTTAGTCCTGGCCACTGGCCCTGGTCCTGGCCGGTCCTGGCATAAAGATCACCGGAGCAGAGAGAAGACGCTTTTCCAAGATCCCTAGTCCTAAAGACAAGATCACAAGCAGCAAGATCCGTTTAATTACTTGGCAAGCATATTTATAGACGGTTGGGGTGGCTTTTTGGTTTAGTGCCCTTTGGAGATTGGGGAATTGGGGACCATCTTCCAACCAAGTGTCGCTATATACCCGTACCTATGCAAGGATATGAGGGTAGGCCCTTTGAAAGATACTTCTTCATTCTTCATTCGCCACCGGCAGAGGCGCAGGAGGAAGAGCTTAAAGCAGCAGAAGAATCTCCGGAGCCTGAGGAGAAGGCTGTCGTGGGAATGTACTGTTTTGTGCCACCTGTTTCAATGAAAGGACTACTAGCGCACAATGCGACAATGCGAAAGTTCCAAGATGCTACTAGGGAACTTCTTAATTTGATTGCTTTCTTGGTTTTCCTCCTACCAAGGCGGCAGACGAAGAGCTGCCTCAAGCTGCAGAAGAAGCTCCAGAGGCTGAGGAGCAAAGCGCAGAGGCTGAGGGGCTTTGGGTTAGTGCAGACGGACCTGCAACATTCTTTTTCAGGGTCCTGGCCAGTCCGGGCATAGAGATCACTGGAGCAAAGAGAAAACCATTTCTTATCCAAAACCCGTAGTCTAAAGACAAGATACTTTTTCAGGAGCCAGGAGTCTTGTGACATCCTTCTTGTGCATGTGGGGGGTGATGGCATGCTTCAGCGGTCGTTCAGATTTGATACCCAGGCCGAGGCCGTGGGTGAGATCAAGGAAACCCAGGCCGTTGGGTGATGTGGGTCCGCTTGGCCACTGGAAGGGGGGCAAGGTAGCCATGCTCGACGATCAGAGGGAAGATGCTAGGCAGCAGTTTTCTGTGCCAACTCCTTGTTGGCCGTGGGTTGCATAGACAAACACAGACGGCTCATTCCCCAAAAGGTGGTTTAGATGGACCCCCATGAAAAAGAGATCGTTGGGTTTGTGCCATCTACTTTGAAACCACTGTAATGACTTCCAGTACATCAGTGATCATTTGGACCTCCGTGGTCCTCAATCTAATCGTGGGAAATGGGGTTTGATTCTGTAGAGTAGAGTGCCTCAACTATACCTGCATAGTCTTTCTGAACAGAACAGTTCGAACTTGGACTCTTGTCTCTTCAGGTTCAAGCTTGGCTTGAGTGAAGAACGCCCATGTTTTAGCATGCATAGGGGCAGTTCTGTTCGCTCACATACTGCTTCTTTCTTCAAGGAGCGTGTCTTTGTGTGCTGCCAGCTGCCATCCTGATGGAATTTTCATGGGTGTCACGCTTCGGTGAACATGGTGGCACGCTTCAGTGCAGTATGCCACGGGGAGGTGTGGGGCAAATCCTTCTTGTTTTTTTTCTCTCCGTGAGGTCGACGAGGAGGTACCCGAAGCAGAAGATGTCCCGCCGGCTGAGGAGAAAACTGTGGCTGAGGGTTTGGAGGCCAGCGCGACTGGCTTGGGAAAGCCAAGGAGCAGGTGATAAGAAAGCATAAGAAAGCTGTGTGCCCCCCTGTCCCAACTTGTCCAACCGGGCCTGTTACACTCTTGACCAGTGAATCGATGGTGCACGTCTCAAATCGTTTCAGCTCGTTTCATGTGAGGCCAGCAACCTTCCGGCTGACGTTGATCATGAGGTCGCGAAGGAGGCAGGAACAGGTGGTTGCCCACGCTTTTGCCGTTGGGAGCACGGCTTTTTAGAGGCAGAGAGGCGATAGGTGCCGGATGCTGCCGGCAATCCACCTCTCAGCTTTTATGGGTCAGATTCCACGATCGTTGCTTGGTCCGGGGCGCCACCAAGCGACCATGAGGTATGCTCTATGTCCTTTCTCTTGCATAGCGCGAAAAAGATTGATGAAGTGTTGCGATTTATTTGAGAACATTCGCGAGCGATTCTTTGGCTGGATTTTGGTGGGACGGAGTCCAGGAGGAGCTGAGAGTTTCAGCATTCCCCCCCAAACAAGCAAGACAACACCTATGGGCACTTGAATGAATGATTGACCGGGATTCGCATTGGCAGCGCCATGCACCGGCCTTCTTCCGTTCTGCCCACGGCCCAGCGCAGGCAGCAGAGGCTCCAGTGGCAGAGGACGTGCAGGAAGTTGGCGCGTGCGTGGTCGGATGTGCTCAATCGGTGCAATATATATATATATACACATATGTAATTAAAATATATAGATACTGATCTATATAGAGGATTGATAGGATCAGATATGATCAGATGAGCCCTTTCTGCTGAGTAATCATGGATTTGCGGTTGTGGGCATGGATTTCTGGCCTGCCTTTCTCAAATCTCCCCCGGTCAACTTGAAGCCAAGACACTTGGCGCCAAGCTCCATCAATCAAGGTTGATACCACCAAGACCCTAACCGTTGAAGCCTCCGGCCAAAGAGCGCGGAGGCCGTTACATTCAACCACAAGGTTTGGCCCACCCCAACAGGGTTGATTCTGTGCCAATTGACCCACCAGAAGACATGACGTACGGTGACCGCTGTGAAAACCTGGAGCCTTGACCTTAAGCATGTCCTCCTTAGTAGTTGGTCAACGAGGAGTTGTGACCCACAACCCATGTGTTCCTTCGCCATGGGTTCCTTTGCCGGAGGCAGTGGCCAAGATCACTGAGACCCAGGTGTGGCGCCGGAGACCGCGAATCCATCCGCGTGTTCGACCGGTGGAACCTCCTGGTGGCGGATTCAAGCATACTATATATAACACAACCCAGGGGACTGGCATATTGACCTAGGGTTTGTCCGTTCTTACCTGTCACAGGACCCGTAAACAGGCAAATCATCATTTTTTGGAACAACGCCTGCAACATAACCATCATCATCCACTGTTACCGGTAGAGTCGGAAGACCCAATATTGACCTACTTATGTGAGGCACTCCGTATTGAGTGACGGCGTATTGACTCCATTGATTCCAACGCTCCGCTCGGAGATGTCTTCCAACGCTCGGTGGGAACCACTTGACGAGACAGCGGGGCCTGTCGACGACCCCGGTTGACGTGCAGGTGCAGACAGGACTGGAGAACATGCGGCCCATATAGCCACGGCCCATATGTGGCCCATGCTATTGAGTCTTGATGATTCTTGACCCACATCTTGGAGAACATTCCATGGGTGATGGGTAAAGCCAGATGGTTGGGGGTGGTCTGCCGGCATTCCTAAGGTCTCATCACCGGCTGACAAGGCTTGTCGGCGGGGAGGTCGAGGTCTTGGGGGTGTGGATCGAAGCTCCATCGCGTGCCCATGGGATCATCAGGGGATCATCAGGGTCCCTTGGTGTGTCGGCAAACACACCTGTAGCCTGTAACCTGTCGGCAAGGAAGACATGTTCTATCACTTGGCAAAGAGAAAGGCCTTGCAAACCTCACCATCATCCACTGTTACAGGGACTAGACATACCCCAATCATGGAGCCCTTGGGCAGATCAAATCGTTACGCAGCTCCCAAGGGTTCGTTGAAGCGGAGCCCAAAACACGTGGTGAGGGTCCGGACTCTTGGAAGCCATAAACTATCAGACGACGGGAGGCGGGTGTTGGCAAGGGGAAGACGCTGAAACCGCTGAAACCGATTTCTTCAGCGTGGAGGCTTCTGTACTAGATCTGGCCGACGCCAAGGTTCCAAAAGGCATGTTGAGTGCTGATCACTTGCAACCAGCTCCAGCCGGGACAAGCTCTTGGGCCCAACTTGACAGATGGTGATGTGGGATTCTACTGCCCTAAGAGTCCAAACTCCCACCTCTTGCGACAGGAGGGCAAAAAGTCTGGCTTGGGCTGGCTGTATGTGCCACAGCTGCAAGTTACGACGGCCTTTTTCTTCCACCATCCGATTGGAAGAACCCAAGCTTGCAACACCACACCAAGCTGCGAAAGCTTTGGCACATTGTGCACCCCTTCAGGTTTCCGCCTCGCGCGCGTTTCGCGGCGATGAGGCTTACATAATATTACACGGCCTGGAGTCCAAGGAGATGACCCGATGAACCAACCTCATCCCCAAACAGAACCCTCCAAAAATAGACCCAGCGACCACTTGGTTCCGACCGAGCCTTCCAGAGACGGACCTCGATCTTTTCTGCCTACACCCAACAACCACGTACGTAGCAAATTGGGGTTGGTTTCACTTGCAATCTGACCGATCAAAAAGATCAAAACAGGTTTGGAATAAACAGGCAGGGGTCACTTCTGGTGACAGATGCAGCTTCTCTCAGTCAGACTGTAGGGACGTAGAACCCTGCTGCCGCATTGCAATCAAACTGTTTTGGTAACTTTGAAGCCTACACTCCCTGGAATGAATCATGGAAGTGGATGGCATGGGCCCCTGGAAGACCCTGTTCCGAATTCCAAACGGAGTGCACCTATCTATATATTTACTGTATATGTTTACCTCAGGTTTGACTCCGTGGCCAATGAAGCCGTCGCCCAAAACCAACAATTCGAAGTGCACCACCTCATCCATATGCCACACGATTCCATCAGTCCCTTCATTTCGTCCCTAACTCGCCCAGTCTTTCACCCATTTTCACACGCCCTCAGCCATGGGACGATGGGTTTCCTTCCCAAAATGCAATGGATTTTGGGATCAGCGCCTTTCCTCGCACCTGTCCGTCCCCCGCCGTCCCCCGCACCCGTGGCCCGGTCCGACCTCCAAAGGCCTCCACGGTGGCGGCCGTGCAAACCCTCCGGTCGCCCACGCGCGGCGCCCGCTCGTTGGCCGAACGCCTGAGAGGGCGCTCCGCAGGTGCGGTCGGTTTTGGGACATCATGCCGTCGGTTTTGGGTCAACCCTGCAGGTGTTCTGAACACATGCGTTAGTTTACGGCTTTATGTTTTTGTTTTTATGCAATGTTCTCATGTTTATGTATATATATATATATATGTGTGTGTGTGTGTTTTTGTGTGTGTGTGTTCTTAAATATCTTAAATGGGTTTGGAGATACTAGACCGGTCTGCTTGGGCCTGGGACTCGGCTGTGGCATATCTCATGGTAATTATCCACATATAGATTGTATGATCGTATAACACTACGACTCACTGTATGATCAATTATGATGCATTCCATGGGGTTCTGTAGATTCTAGATGCTGGTATGGAGATTGAAGGGCCGGAGCTTGGACAAGTGCTGCAGGGTTGGTTGGAAGCTGTTGCATTGAACAACTGGAGCAAGTATGAACTTGTTTGCATGTTATCCTTTTGCCAAGATCAAGATTTGCCAGGGGAAGAGCAGCCTGATAAGGCCGAGGCATCTGCGACTGCAGGCCCAATCCGGCGCATGCCGCGCGGACCTCCCACAGCCAGCGCTGCCTGTGTGGGAGTTGACCGAGACCTCATGATTGTTCGATCTTCTTTGTTTCACAGCCACTAGTGGTGGTTGTAGATTTCAAGACTACGCCAAGGGTTGAATCACAAGTGCCCTCGCCAACATCTGAAACAGTGGAACACCCGCCCTCTCTCTTTTGATAGCTAAAAGCTCGTCCAACAGTAATCCACTCTTAGTAAGCACTCTTGCCCACCTTCGGTGTCAACAAAGGATGATGCCAGTCAGTCTCACTCGATGGACTTCCGTCCTGACCCCTCGGACCGTCGACGGGCTCGCCGCTGCGGCGAGGCGACGCGCCGGCGACGGCCGCCCCCGAGCTGGAGCGTGCCCGGCAGCGGGCGCGGCGCGCGGCGCAGAGGCCGCGGCGCAGTCAGCTGGAACAGCAGCTCAGCTTGGGGATGGTTTTCAGATTTCGCGGAGGGGCGAAGATCGGGTTCATCCCGGTGAGGGCGATCACTTCAAAGGATTCAGTGGATGAAGGGACCTGGGTTATATAGCCGTAAATATGCCGTAAATGTAGTTTAGAAGCCAGGTTTTTTACTTTTCAATACCATGCTTTGATTTAGAGGGTTTTGGACGACGGAGCCATGAAGCCTTTCATTGGGTGTGTTTTTTTTGGGGGAACGATTTCACCTTATCGAAGCAAGTTCAAAAGAAGGAAGTCCAGTGCGGTTTGGATAGATCATGCCATCCTATCAAGACTCTTGATCCAATTTGGTGGCTAATATGGGCTTTGCCCTGAATGGCCTGAATGGGGATTCGAGGTTCAGGTGGTGGCAGGAAGAGCGGTGGGCATCGTCACCCGAGGAGAAGGAGGACGTTCAGACTTGTCAAGTTCAGTTTGAGCTTTATAGTAGTTTGTCAGACGATGACGAAAGTTTCGTTGGCCAAACGTGAAAAAGACACACACTCCTTGGGCACGGGAGGATGATTCAGAATTCATGAGGATTCGGGATCAGTTGTTTTGATGTACCAGTGTACCAGTGATCACCGGCACCTGGTAATGGATGCTGCAAGATCCAGGCATGTCCAGGCGCCAGGCGCCGTATAAGTAAGTGGGGCCTGGCCACTGGGTGAACCGACGGTTGAGGTTCGCCAGGCCATTTCAGGGGTCAGACGTCGGATGGTCGACAGCTCCAAGGTATCCAGCCAAGGAGGACGGTGAGGAGGCCACCCGTAACTCACATGGGGCGGCACATGGGAGCTCCTTCACCACAGGTGGAGCTCCTTCAACTGGGACCGTTCCGCAGTTCCGCTATGTTCCGCGGTCTTCTGGAAGTTCGTGGGGACCGGGCGGAAGCGTCGAGGCCGTCGCCTTCTCCGTCCCGCCGCCGCGGTCGCCGCGCGGCGCAGGCGGAAGAAGAGGAAGCCGTGTCGGACGCTTCGGTGGAGGCGCCCGCCGAGGCGGCGCCCGAGGCGGCGCCCGTCCCCGAGGCGACCGAGGCACTGGGGGAGTGAAAAGGTGAAGCGACTGGCAGAGATAGGCATGAATATATGCATGAACCGATTCTTGCAAGTACGTGCAAGGATGTGTAAGTAGGATAGCATGAAAGAAGGAGAACCAAATTGTTTGGGACACATTTGGTTGGGGTCGCCGGGGAAATTTCAATACTTTTCTTCCAAGCTAAGCGGACTTGCGAATGCTTTTGGAACCCCTTGACGGACGTGAGACGTGGTGCTTCTACTATTAATTCTAGTGTTTATTCTGCGTATTCTTTTCGGGGTCGGGTTGGATTTTCATGTTGGCGCTTTTCTTTTGGAGGCACTGAGCCCTCCCGCCCTTCTGCCAGAGGTAGCTGAGCGCCGGATGCCGAGTGGTGGTGGTGTTGAGTTGGGGTTTCTGCACATGCAGCATCACCGGATCAGTCAAGCAATGTTTACTTATAAAACTGGGGCTCAGGACATGCCTTGAACAGCCAAAAGTTAGTTCGATTTAGATCTTCGAAACCCATGAGGTTCGGGCGGTTGTTTTTGCGAACCGTAGCTAAGCTGGCTGTCAGGTTCAGGAAACCTTGTTGCGATGAAGACTTCCAGGCAGCCTGCATCACAACAGAGAAGGACAGCGAACAACTTCGGTCAGTGGCCGAACTCAGCACAGTTCAAGAGTACACAGAGGTCATATCCTGCAACCGGACAGGTTTTGCTGGTGGCACCGCATGTTTGCAAGATCTAGTAATCTAGTAGCCCTCGATCACGATCCATGGTCACTCCATAAGACTGGAATGTATATGCCAACAGATAACCCCTGAAACCACCCCAATGTAGGCAAATATGGCATACATGGGTCACATCAACACACTACACACCCTTCGCTGTCGGCAAAGCTCCGAACAGCCATTTTCATGGTGTGTGGATGGTTTTCCCTTCTAGCGGTGCGAGTTCCTTCAAGCGTCTTGCATCTCAAAATGCCAAGTTCATCACCAAAGAGAAGGATGCCATCTCTTTTGGCTTGTCAGATGAGGGTCTGAGCCTCTTGGAAAACATGTTTGCATCCAGTGGGTTTTGGGTTGGCTCAGTTGGCCGTGTTGAGAGTTACATAGAGTTACTATCGTTGTGTACTGCCCCGATATGTCGAGATGTGTTTGAACTGAGTTTGGCAACTCTTTGCAGAGTCATCTTAACCACCCAAAGACCATCCCTACTTGCTGCCCCTGTGTCAGATGGCTTAGAACTTCGAGTGAACGACCATTTTGGGAAGAAGATCCAGGTGCTGCGTGTCAACCATAGGCAGGTGAGCGACCAGGATGACTGGATGATTACTTTGCCCTCCTCCTTCCCGGTGCTGGAGAAGAATCTCAGGCTGAGTGGATGGGTACCAGAAGAAACGAAGGGCAGAGACATGGGCACACATAATATACAATATATATATATATATGCTAATTAATATACTTATCGTATACATGTGTTAAACTCTTTTAGACTACTATATTTCACAATGCTCTAACACAAAAGTTTACTATTTTTGAACCCCATTCATGAGTTCCAACACTATAGGACCTATAGGAAGTTGCTTCTTTCAGGCCTAGTAGTTTCCATCCATGTTGCGACAGGAGGGGTCCTGTCAAATAGGCCCAAAGAGAACCAATCTGGGACGGGGTCCTGGCAGATGGTCTTCTACAAATACACTCAGACCCTGAGAAGGGACCTTTGGAAGACTAGCTAGCTCCCTCCATCAACCAGTGGTTTTCAGGGTCCATGCTAGTTTCAGCCGTGCATTTCTTTGCAGCACAGCATGGTGCAGCCCCATGTGCAGAAAGCTTTCTGGATCCTTTTGCAGAGGCGATCCACCTCAAAAACTGCTTGGTAATGGCTTTGCAATCGGGTGCACCTGCCTTAAACCTTACACCCACTGGCGCAAGGAAACATGCATCCCTGAAGTTTATGGTTTTAGCCATAGGCATGCATTCTGCGGCGCATTCTTTGGCACTTCCTTAAGCAATTTCCTACCACAACATACAAAAACAGACAGAGTCCACACCCCAGCGGTGGCATGTTCACGTTCCTAGGGTTTACATCAAACTTTCGGGGTGCACCAGGTGAAGAATCAAGACTAGAGGGGTCAACACCCGCCACGCCGTTGGGCAGTCAGGATTTGCCGCCTGGCGGAGAGCGCTCAAGTTCCAGTCTTCCAGGGCGTCCACGCGACCGCCGCACGACCCACCGCGGGGACCGCGGTGACCGCGCCGGTGCTGCGACTGGTGAGCTCCGGGCGGCTGATCGTCTCGTGGCGGCGCGAGGAGGTCACACAGCTCGGCCAGCGTCTTGGGCCAATGCGAGGATGGAGAGGGGACATCCGGGGACGAGACATCTCCAACTGTACCGGTGGTACCGAAAATAAGAGTCAAATTTCTGGCCAGCATTAGGATGAGGGAGACATGGATGGAATTCTTTCCGCTGAGGGATGCTGAGGTTCTTTGGGAGATCTCCTTGGGCAGTCCGTGGCTAAACAAGAGTTCATCCCCTTTGCATGATTGTAGTATTTCTATATTTTCCACCTCAACCATGGCAAGCGCAAGCGCAATGGAAGAATAGCCGTTTCTTTCTTTCTCCTTCTCGTTTGCTTCTCATGTGCATTCCCCCCGCCCTGGACACACCGAACCGACTCTCTTTCCACACATACCGAAGTGTCGTCACGGTGACGACCACCGCAGAGGGTCGAACGAGTCTGACTCGGGGGCCGTACTGGGTGGGTGAAATCCATGGCGTAGAAACCCCAGTCGGTCCCAGTACCAACTCACATAAATTGAGACATTTTCTGCTTCAAAATCACGCTCAAAAAATTTACTCATTACCTAAATTGGATTTACTATTACATTTACGTAACTTAGTAAAACCACAAATTTACGTAAATTTTATGGTTAGTAAAATTACTAATTTGGGTGACTTAGGGTAAAGGGTCTGACTCTTGTGGATTTCGATCTGACCAAGCCCTCAAGGAAAGATGAGCAAGAGAGGCGGGAGGGTGTTGGCTTCAGACGCGCATGGCGTGAGAGGGAACAGCCACTTCTTGGGGCCTTCTGTGCGAGGTTCACTTCCTTTGGGTCTTTCTGGGCCTCAGTGGAGAATTCATGAGCATTCCATCCTATTGTTCATCATTGTTCGTCCTTTTTTTCTCATGGGAGGTGTTCTTTCTTTGGGGGGGGGGGCGGCTGGACTCGGGCGGCATACTCGATTTCCAGGAATACAACCTGACAACCGGCTCAGAGTGAAATCGGTGGACTCGAGATGAACTGGGACATTCTCTTACCCAGATACGCAAAGGCTGGGACTCCCCATCTATGCCTATATACATGGATCCCCAGTCAACCACCCCTGGCCGTTTCTCGGCAGTCCGGCAGTCCGGTGATGTTCCGCACGCGCTCTGCGCTCGGGACAGACCGAACGACCCCCAAAGACGTGGAACAGACTGAGACCTCGATGGATGAGAGACCTGAAAGCATTGCCCCACGAAGTGCGCTATGCTTGCCGCGGTGGTGGCCTTTCGCGGCAAGCGACTGGTTTACAGTAGGCTCCAGGAATCTGATTCGAATCGTTGGAGCCTTTCCTTTCAAACAAGTGGAATTCGGATGAATCTGGCAGGCTGAAGAAAGTGGTGGCATGGATGGAGAAGAAGCAGCCGACTCTCGTGGTGGAAGACTTCTCTGAACAAACTCCCATTGCTCGTGTTAAAGCCCTGGCAACGGTGGCTGCTTGTGCAGTGTTGGTGTTGCCAAGAGGCGTGGGGCAGTGAATTACCACCTGGGATTGGTGTTTTCCTGCGCTGGGATTGGTTTTAGCCTGGATGAGCCCGGCCCACATGCCAAGCCCGGAGAACTTCCAACACATCCTCCTGTATCGGAGTCCTGGCATCAGGTGCTGAGAACTTCTCCTTGGCCATGGTGCTTGCGGAGCTTTTGGAACAGGAGATCCCCATCATCCTCGTCCAGTCCGACAGCTCAGGTGCTGAAGCTGCTGAAGCGGTTTCCTCACGCCTTTGGGGTGGCCTTCCGCAACTTTCAGCGAGCCTGCAGGCGGCCAGCTGCACCCGTCAGGCACTGGAGGAGCTCTTGAAGGCATACCGAGCCTCTAGAGCCTTGGAGATGTTGCGCATTGCTCGAGATGTGTGTTGCATTTTTTGGGATTCCCAAAATGTGTTGTGCTTCTTAGGGACATGAAGGATCACCAAGGCATCACAGCGAAATTATAAAATAAAAAGAAGTGTCAAATGACTTAGCCATCACATGAAGGTGTTTGACCAGCGGAAGCTAAACATTTTGGCATATTTTTGCTCCATTCATTCACTGTCACGAGCTTTCTGACGTCAACTCCACCAGGTGGGCAGCCTTGAAGTAAAAGGCCATAAAGGGTGTGGAAAGGCCCTCATGTGAGCCCTCCTACCATACCCTCTCGCCGTCACCTCAGGACCTTTCATCCATGGCTTCATTGGCCGCGGCCATCTGGAGGCCCCCGATTCTGAGCGGATTGGAATGGAAACCCCTCACACCAAAAATTTGCCAGAATTTCGCCAAACATGAGAAGCTTTTGGGTATGATCCAGGTCCGACGACCTTCGCTTCCAGTGGATGAACTCCGCTTCCAGTTGATGTGTCATTCAGATGACGCGTCGTTGGGCGATGGGTGCGGTAAATGATCGGGCAGATTTTTGTGTAGACCATGGATGACCATTGGTCTTTGAAAGCGAGGCCCCCAAAACTGTAAGATACTGTAAGTAGCAAGTGTGGCAGGTTTAAACTGGTCACATTGCAATGGGACATCAACATTTTGGACCTCTAGTCAGTGCAATGGGACCAAGTGGGACCCTTGCTTGCCTAAATATGTAATATCAACATAATTCAACATATATCTACATAGTTATATATATAATTATAATCTTACAGTTTATGGACTTCTCATGAATTTTGCACATTTGTCCTCTATTGTTTTTATGTGTTCTTAGTCTCGTGGTGCTGGGCCCAGCAGCATGTTTGGGCGCCCCCGCCATCCAAGAGGCGGAGCTCCACGAGGCACTCGTGTGCGCGCTGGCCGCGGTGACATCGCTCAGCACAGTGGAGCTGCCGTTGGTGCGGTCGAGGACGCCAGTTGCCTGGTTGACAATGGGCCAGCGATAGGGGGGGTCGGGCCTGCCAGTGCCCAACTGAAAAGAAACTACTCGTACTAAGACTTGCTGTCCAAAGTTCTTTGTGTAAAGCAAGGCATGCCAAAAGCAGGTTTGGAGAGTGACAAGACAAGAGCCAGAGTATGGCGAACCAGAGGTTCGGAAGACTATATAAGTGCATGTAGCGAGCTGGTGGGCAAGATTTGGAGTAATAAGGGTGTTAAAGAAGATGGCTCGAAGCATTACAATCCGAAAGTTGGGGAAACATGTCCAACGTGTTCCAACGACAGTAATTGTGGACCATGTTTCTTTCTGAGACTTTGTTTCTTGCAGATTTGTGAGCATTTGTTGGCCAAACTCTGCCCGCAACTCCGATGCTCATCCGGGGGGTTTTCGTGATACAGCGAAGCGAGCTTGCTCAAGCGCCTCTTCACTCACGGGGCCGCTACCAACGGTAGGTAGGTTCTTCTCGTCGGAACCTGACGAGAGTGGATGGTGCGGGCCTGGACCGAAAGCACCATGTTTGGGCCTTTGATCTTATTGACTCCACTCAACGTCCAGTCACCAGTCCAGCTTAGGTCGCCGCAAGCGCGCCCGAACGCCGTTGCTTGGTGGCTGTGGGGCAGCGCAGCCGTGCCATGATGAACTTGGTGGAGGAGGAGCTGAGAGATTTGTGGCGCAGGGGCAACCTGGAGGAGGCAGGGAGATCCACAGCGAGATGCCTCAAATCAACTCACATCCAATGCTAAGCCTGTGACAGCGCGCCAAGCCTGTGTCCCATGCTGGAGTTTGGACTCCAGTCGCGCAGCTTTGCAGGTGGGAAGAGATGGCAATGCTTTGATTTTGCTGGATGCTGTAGATCCTGAGGCGCTGAGAGTTCTGCAGCAAGCCCAGGAGTGCAGAGCCCAGGCTTCCAACCCTCATTGACCCATCCCATCTTCTTAGCCACAGCCTAATGGTGAATCGTGAACGGAGTGCACCATGTCCAAGGGCAAAGCGACTTGAAGTCGGCCGAAGTACGCTCCCACCGTCTTCGTCTCCTTCCTCCAAACTGTGGCGGGGACCAGGGACCACGGACCAGACCTCCAAACCGATTCGTTTCGTACCCCGACTTCCGGACGTACACGACGCATTTTGGGCGCCTGGAGAGGCGACCAACTGCCACGGCGGTGCTGGCATGTTGGGACCTTCCCTGCCGTTCTTGGGCACCAATCTCCCCAACTGCCACGCGCAGGACGCTGCGCTGGCCGATCCCCTGGCCGTTGTGCCGAGGCATTTCTTGGTCGCTTGGAGTGTGCCGTGCCGGAGGTGTCCGGCCACTAATCCACTGACGTGACCGCACGGGTTCCCACGCGGATTACGCCGCTGAAGCCCAAAAGGGATCGAAGGACGCTCGCGGCGACTTTGGGGGCGCCGGCTGCCCTCAAATGGTTGCGATTTGAGTAGGTCATCTCAGTCATCTCTATATATCTACTGGAGAAGGCACCGCCTCGTTAAGCCATCCGACTCGCATCCGACTTGCGAATTCCTCAGGTCCTCTTGCCCGGCTTGGCTGCGCCGAGCAGCCTCTGGCGTCAAACGGCGGTACCTTTGAGCTTGATGCTGGGTGCTGGAGACCACGAACCCTTGGAGGGTTTGGCGATAGGCCTTTGCTTGGGCGATGCGCTGGAGGCACCTTGGGAGGTTTGGGAGCTTTGGGAGCTTGGGCCTAGGATTGTTGACCAGGTGGGCAATGATGTGATCAATGAAAAAGTTAAGATGTTTTAAGTCTCTTAGGGTACATCTTAACATGAAAAACATTATGGATCACAAAATACAACATCTCAACAAGTATTTTGTGATTTGCAGTCTATCTTAGGGTACTGCGCTTCTTTGCTCCTTGCTTCACATCTCACATCCCGCATGTGCGGGTGTTCGGACGTCGCCTGCAGGTTTTCCTTGTTGAGCAAATTCCTATACTCATGTTTGCATGTCCCATCTTTGGTGACCCAATCTCATGGCCGGTCAGACCAAAACCAAGCGCCTGTCGGTCGAGGTGCGCGATTGCTTGCAGTTCTTAGAGGCCCTGGCCACTGCGCCATTGGCGCCGGCGGCCTTCCAGCTACAGCCGCTTCCACAAAAGCACTTGGCCCTGAGGCGTCAGGGCTGTCGCCCGGCCACAGCGGGGTGTTTGGGTCCTCCGATGCACAAAACTGTTTGGTGCTGGCTTAAGGCTTAAGGGTCACTCGTGGAACCCTCTGATGCACGGGGAACCCTCTTGACAACGGGCACATAAAGAAGGCATACGACAACGACTGCAGCATGGTGGCGTAGAGCATCGCGAAGCTTTTAACTATCATGAGCTATGGTGCATTGTATATACATACATAATACATGATTACCATATCTTGGGTCAACACTCCTCCCAACCATGGAACATTCATGCAACATGACAGTGGGAATAGAATGGAATAGATCCGACCCTCACTTTACAGAAGGTATACCTTTTGTTTGATCACTTTTGGCAATGCATTGGCGGGGCCCCAATTAGAGTAAAGTACGGCAGGAAGTTGGCCAAACAAGTACAAAGTACTTCATGGATTCATGGACCCTTCCAATCGCTGAGAGCCTTAAACCCCATTCTGCGACGATGCCAACCGGATTTGCCCCATCCGATTCAACAACCTTGGATGATTTTGATTCAGTTGGCCGGAGGATATGATACCCATCAGCTGAGTGCGTTTTCATGCGTTTTCTTCTTCGAGCGGAGATGCTCAGGTCAAGACCTAGATGGCCACTCCGTTGTGGCATCCTTCTCCTTGTGGCCAGAGGGTCGGGAGGACGGGTATTCCAACGCAAAGGATCGGGAAGGATAGGATATTCACATGTATCAATGTTTCAATCAAACTGGCAGAGTTCTTCAAAGACAGTTTTCAGCAGGTTTGCCTTCCAAGTGATCCCAGTAAACATCTTCCCTACAGAATTGGTGGTCTTGGAAGAGTCTTGGATCCTTTACAAATCAACATTCTATGTGTTGAACTGTCTTCCAAAGTGTAATGTAGATCACCAAGATCACCAAACTTCTAACGTGGATTCGCAGAGGCCGTTACCCTGGCGACCCCAAAAAGCCCGCTTCTCTCCTGGCTCACTCGAAAGACGCTTGGCAAACCTTCAGGTGTTGAAGCCAGACATATTCAAGACCCACTTCAAAATTCGGAGCGGAATTCCTCAAGAGCTCACAAGCTTGGTCGATTGCTGAGCTGGAGCCAGCTTGGTCGAGCCAGCTCGTGCTTTTCGGAGGAGTCGCTTTTCCCCACGGAGTTGCTGAGACCCGACTTGCCTCCGAGCGTCGCTCGAGGAGGCTCCGAACTCGTTGTGCCGAGGCATTGCGAAACCAGGGATCGGTGCAAACATGAGGTGTCTCAGACTACGAATGGGCAACACTGGCAACACCAGATATTGAATATTGCATTTGATAGATGTTCTTTTTGTTCTGGTGACTCAGAACATGGTGGGAACACGCGAGAACATTTGGACATGTTCTCAGAATTCTCAGAGGGCTCTCAATCAAGACAGTCGCCACTGAAACGCTTCTTTGTCAAGACAGTCGCGGCTGGGAAAGCTTGGGCTGTGCTGACTCCCATGGGAAGTACTCCTGTGGGAACATCAAAGTGGATTTGTCCACTCTTTTTTCGCTTCAGAAAGGTGAAAAAGAGCACTACATCCCAATGGGAGGTCCATTAAATCAGTAGCTTGTCCCATTAAAATCTCTAAAACATGTTCACTTCTCCCAGGGTCGCCATTTACTTTTTTCTATTTTTGTTCTACTCAAATCACTTGGAGTTGACCGCACCCTCCCGCAACCCCCAAGCCTCTCCGGTTTCCGAAGCGCGGTTTTTCTTTGCGACCTGGGTTCACCGGTGCGAAATCCTAAAAAGGTTCACAAATCTGGGCCCAGTCGAAGCCCACTTCGACTACAATTGGCACCACCAAGTCAAGTTTCTGAAGGACATTCCCTTTAGAATGGTCACCTGAAGACCATGGTGTCTACTCATGGTCGCTTTCTTCCAGAGTATAGTCTATATGTGTCTCTGACTCTTTAATGACAAGCTGTTCTTGTGAGGGTGACCATGCTGTTGGACAAATATGTTGAACCACCTGACATAAAGAAACCACAACATTACCACATCTCCGCTTGTCCTAGAAAGTCACGATGCTTGACTTGTCCATGGAGGAGCTGCGTACCGCGTGTCCAAGACTCTCGTATCGGGACATCGTCTTTGGCACTTGGTTCTTGATCCAGAGGGCGAGGCGCAGGAGGGTTCCAACGAATCAGCGGCTGGCGGCGGAACCGACGGCAAAAGACGAGGGAGGTGAGATAAAGGTGTGGAGCATTACCCAGACGCCCCATGTATGCCATATATGAATATGCCTACATTGACCCCCAAAACCACCCCAATGTAGGCATTTGTGGCAGTCCCAGTGTCTGGGTTAGTACGGCACCGGGAACCGATTTGAAACTTGGGAAGCTCGCGGGCCCGGGGCCTTGGCCAGGTGGATGTTGCTCACTGCATGTGGTCGTAGTGAAGTGTTTATTTTTTTACTGTTTGATCATTGACTTTCACATGCTTTCACTATTGACCGTCATCATCCACTGAAGTGATTATAGGGTAGACCCAACCCAACAGCTTCGGACGAAACTTGAGTCCGGCTTGACAAAGCATTTTCGTTATCATTGCTCGGACGATGACTTGAAATCACTCGCATATGCTCGGATCACTTGCTCTGTTTGGGGTCATTTGTTTTGTTTGTTTGGGTTCACTTGCCTCAGGTGGTGATGTGTTCGTTTGGCAAAGGTGTGGTGAGAGTCTGAAGGGGGAAAGGACCTTTTTGTTGGTGGTGTTTCCCAATGACTTCACATGAACATCCCCACTCCCTTGAGAAATGTGCGCAATGATCGGGTTACATCGTCCGTGGAAAATCATACTGTAGAGCATCCACTCGGCTGGTTCAAGCTTTGGCCCCCAACAGGTGTTTTTTTTCCATATATATTGTATATTCCACCACCCCGAACGCCCATGTTCGATGGCAAATTATCAGCCCAAGCCTCAAGAACACTACTCACTGGATGGATGTAGACTCCGGAATCCCCAACAACCAATATATAGACCAATTGGAAAAAAACATCTTGGACTTGAATCATTCTGTGTGCTGAACATCTACACTGAATCCAGGACCATGCAGTTTCTGTAAACATTTATCATGGTCAGGCCCAGGTTCCCAACGGGGGGCTGCGAGGCACAGCTGCTGAAGCGCGCGGCTGGCGACTTCGCGGGTCGCGCCGCTGGGGCCTTTACCTTTCGCGGCGGGCGACGGCACGGTGCCGCGACGGAGCCTCGGTCCCGACGGAGGAGAAAGCTCTATAGGTGTGGAAGCTGCTGCTGATGACACACACACACACACACACACACATCACACACATACTTCCAACCCTCCAGCAATTTCACAAGTGGAAGGGATCGGGAAAATGATGGGACATTCATTTTTGCCCAAGTCGGTGTAGGTGTGTTGAAGTTGTTGTTCTGTGTAGGGACTGATGTGGGATTTCTTGTTGCAGTCTTTTGTTACCCAAAGCTTGAAGGAAATATGACGAAATCATGCAGGATTTTGTCCGATTTCTCCAATGAACCGTCTCGGTCGTGAGGATTTGTGGCAGTTGGCAGAGGAACTACTTCAACGTGAAGAGTTCGATGATGAGTCCTTTGAAGAAGAATCCGACATGTCCTCGCCTGGGCACGAAGACCCAGATGCAGCCTCAGGTTCTGCAGCACTTGAGGACGATGATAACGAACCAGCCATCTCAAGTGCATCAGAGGCTGCAGAGCCTCACACCCTTGGGGGCCAAACCCACCATCTTGATGCAAGAGCAGATGCGCCAGCAGCGTCCGAAGAACAGCGGGAACACCTCGAGTCCGAGCCAGAAGAGCTGGAGGAAAGCGAAAAACAATGCACAGATGCATCATCCTCAGAGCCCGCACCCCTACAACCCGCAGCGCGTGATGAGCAAACGCATCCTCCTGTTACAGTAACTACAGTTGTGAATCCACCAGGTTCATCATCAGGGGCACCGGAGGTAAAGGAAGAACGCCTCGCTGAGCCAGCTGCAGATGCCTTGGAAGCACCCTCAGAACCTGCAGCGCGTGATGAGCAAACGCATCCTCCTGTTCCAGTTGTGAATCCACCAGGTTCATCATCAGGGGCACCGGAGGTAAAGGAAGAACGCCCCGCTGAGCCTGTTGCAGATGCAGTGAAAGCACCCTCAGAACCCGCAGCGCGTGATGAGCAAACGCATCCTCCTGTTCCAGTTGTGAACCCACCCGAAGGAGAGCCAGGAGAACCTGCGGTAAAGGAAGAAAACCCTGCTGAGCCTGCTGCAGATGCCTTGGAAGCACCCTCAGAACCTGCAGCGCGTGATAAGCGTAAGTGTCCTCCTGTTCCGGCTGTGGATCCACCAGAAGCATCATCAGAGCCAGGGGCACCTGAGGAAGAGGAAGAACGCCCCGCTGAGCCTGTTGCAGATGCACTGGAAGCACCCTCAGAACCTGCAGCGCGTGATGATCGAAAGCGTCCTCCTGTTCCAGTTATGGATCCACCAGAAGCATCATCAGAGCCAGAGGCACCGGAGGTAAT